GGGGGGGGGGGGGGGGGGGGGGGGGGGGGGGGTGTCACTGAATGCGGCCCATTGTTGGGGCATATTATGTTTCCAGCACAATACTGCTATCCCGTCTTTATCAACTCCATTCAAGGGTAACAGTCGATGCAAATGAACGTGCCGGCCTTTCATTAAAGGGGGCAGGGGTCTTTTACCCAGTTTACTGCGCGGAGGAGGAGAGGCACTTTTGCCTGCACCATTCGCATGAAGCCTTAATCCCCCTCTAACCCATAGGGCACAATCAGGCTTCTGTCTGCAAGCTGGTAGCCCCACTCTCAAAGTAAAAGTCACAGTTATATAGCACTACAGATCCCCCAGAATGTAAGTACAGCAAGCACCCATGATTCCTGCAAATTCCCGATCAAAGAACGTGTATCACCCACCGCCAGTGCACGAAAGTCAACAGAATCCAGGCCAAAATCAGAGCAGGGCCTAGACGATGTCACCGCAAATAATTCTGTAAAGTTTTATGCTGCTCTTCAATATTGCCATCATTCTTGTAAATCCATACAACTGTCTTTTGTCTGCTTCGTTGGCAAAAGCTTAATCACTCCAGAAAACATCTGAACATTTCCAATTAAACTGTCAAATACCTCATAAACACACACTGAAAAAACGAGCAAGCATGGAATGAAAAACAACAAAAATAATTTCTAACACAAACACATCACCAACCAAACTATTTCCTGCTCTCTATTTATTTAATACAAAGGTCGGTATGATGAAAGCCCGCATTTGTGTTAACTGTTGATATATGGAGAGGGTTTGAATCGTTAAGTGAAATTACATAAAGCGAGCAGTATATCCGCCAAGCTGAGTGCAGCTAACGGGGCAATAATGGCCTCTCAGCGCAGACACAACATCTGCCATCTCTCCCCCGCTGAAAAGCCCGGTCGTTGGCCACCCTCTGTGAGTTCAAACTTGCTAAGTAGCACGCCATTAGGCAGGGATGGATACATCATTAAAAACACATCCACCTTCAAGTACGTGAGATAACAGTGCGGCCAGATCTATGCATCCCTGCAGCACACCGGGAGACCTGCGAGGTGCAGGGGGGCGTACGGGACGTCGGGCTGGGACGGGACGGGCGAGCGGGCAGCAGAGAGACACATTGATGTTGGGGAAGTGTTTATATACTCTAGTCGTAACACTTTGCTTATTTATTTATTTTGACCGCGAGTTGTTTTTCTTCCGATCCTTCTAAAAAAACTTCCGGCAAATGAAAATAATCTCATTGTTAAAAGAGAAAATATTTACGGCAAGTATTATGCGGCGCGTGCAGATTTACAGTAACCTCGTGCCTTTAAAAGCCTGTAGAGGCGCAATGGACGAGTAAGAGTTTCATGGCGATGCAGGCGTCCTGTTATTCTTCGTGACTAATTAGTAACAGTAGTATGTGAAATTACGTGAAATCAGGGTAATTTTAACCTCAGTTGATCCCCCCCACCCCCAACCGGTTTTGAATGATCCCTTTAGCAGCAGTGCAAAAATCGATGCAGTAGTGCATATTATTATTGTTATTATTATTATTAAGAATAATAAAGTATGCAAGTTACACGCATACTACTTTGCGAAACACCCAGAAGCCAAGGAGCACTCGTACCGCAGTGGTATGAGACGGATGAGGATATGCAATATGACATCTGACTAAGAGGACAGCCACCCACAGTCACTTGAAATTGGGAGTGCACACAATTCGCACAATCAGGAAAAATACAACATATCACCAAACCCATAACGTATCATTAATAATACGTTGACATGCCGACTCTGATCTTCCGAAAACCAAAAATGCATTTAATAAATAAATAAATAAAAAGAAATAGAAAAATATACATTTGAGACTCACCTTGGACGCTTTCCTCTTATACTTGTTGGCGAAGTCGAATTTTTCTTTGATTTCGTCTAAAAGCTGCTCCAGACGCCTCTTCTCCTCCTTCCCCGTGTAATCCTGGCTGAGGAGAACGTACGCCCTCCAGTTGGCGGAGTCAAAACCCCAGTGGCAAGTCCTGTTCTCCAGCGATTTGTGACTGTGCACCACGAACTTATGGGTCGGGTACATAAGCCTGCAGTCCATGCACTGGATGCAGGCGGCGTTGGGGCTGGTGTACAACTCCGGCACGAAGAGTCCCTTACACTTCCCGAAGCACTCGTGGTACACCTTGAAGCTCTTCTCCGTCAGCTCCAGCTCCAGGGAGCCGGCGAACTCCTTTTTGCAGTGCGGGGGGTATGTGCCCCCGTAAATCAGGGCATTGCAGAGGCGCTCCGCATCCGTTTTGGTGATGAGGCCGCACGACGGCGCCGAGAACGGCAGGATCCCCATGACTTTGAGGATCTCCAGCTGGTCCGCGGTACACCTGGAGCAGTAGATGTGGAGGTCGTCGCACACCGAGTTGATCTGCTGGAGTGAGAAATCCCGCAGCACCGTGTTGAGGATCTGAGGCAGACAGAGGCGCTTCTCGCCCCCGACTACGAAGCAGGAGATGGTCTCACTCTCCAGCACCGTCTCGCACCTTTCGGTCGAGCGGTCCGATGGGATGAACAGGGGTCCCGGCATTACTGGGGGCGGCTGCATGGGAAGATGAAGCACTGGCTCCGGGTCTTTAGCATCCTTCTTGAACAGCAGATCATGTTGCCATCTCGCAGAGAAAGCCGCCGGACCTCCCAGGGAACTCATAGAACTCAGATGAAACTGTTTCAGAGTTTGTTGCAGTCCTGGATGTGGCTGGAAGCTTTGTCGAGGCTCCATGTTTTGCGTACTACTGCAAAAGAGAAAGTTCCGTTTGAGGCGAGGAAACTGATGCAATCGATATTCCTGATAGGTCCCGATTCCTTGTAAATCCAGGGTCTCCCAGAGTTAGCAAAACGGGGAAGGCGCTTCATCAAACATCCAGCAAAAAAAAAGTCCCGAGCCGCGCGTTTCCAATTCCCCCGACTAGGCGTATAGTAACACCGGCGCGTCTTCCCCTGCAGTAATAGATTCCCTACTGTCCATATCTACCAACTCGTCTTTCTGATCCCAACAGCGAAGGAAATACACGTCCAAGTTCCACGAAAAGTACGGAAATGCGTGACGGAGCTTCGCCTTTTGGGTGGTATCGGCGACCATAGACACTCCACACACTTTTCGTCCCTCTTCTCACTGTCTTTTTCCTGCAGTGGTAGACGTTGCATCCACACTGTCTGCCTTTGCAGTAAGCTATGTCTGCGTCGCGATCGCCAGCCAGCGAGCAAGCCTGCGCTCTCTCGCCCTCTCTCTCTGTCTCTCTCTCTCTTTCTCTCCCTCCCTCTCTCCCTCCCTCCCTCACAGCCCCCCTTTCTCAGTGTTTGTGTGTGTCTGGCTCAGTCATTGAATCCCAGCCAAGAATGTGACTGACTCCCCGGGCTGGCTCTTCCAGGAACGGGCTGTCACTCCCCCTTCTCCTCCGCTTAGTCTCTGCTGCTGCCGCCGCTGCAAAGGCAGAGAAAAAGTAAGTCCGGGCCACAGTGAATCATTTGGTTCACAGTCGCGGACGGTCTGCTGCAGCCGAAACAGGAAGGGTGGAGTTTGCAACAGACAGTCTAATTTTGACTTTCAGGAGTAATGCAAATTCTGCGACTGACTGCGGTTTATTTATTAAGGTTTGTTTCGTCAGTCTGCTACTGTGCAACGCCAAAAAGAGAAAAAAACGTGGAAAATAAGTTATATTCTGGCAATATTCATGAGTTACGGCACAGATATATCAAATAACATAATTTATTTTTAATACGTATTAAGTAAGAAACAAACAAGATATGGAATTTTAAAGTGCTCACGTTTTTTTTTTTTTTTTTGAAAAAAAAAAGCTTGTTTCCAGTTCTGCTTAAAAACTCAATTCATACATGCAGTTTCATTTTTACTGGAAGATTTAGCCTAGCACATCCAGCAGTTATGTCCTGTTATGACGGGCGAGGGAAATGTACGTTCAATACCAGGGTTCAATAAATATCCAGGAAGTCGAAAAGCTTCATTTTACCCACAAACAACACATGGGGCATATTTTACAATGTAGTCTGCGTATAATTCCTCTGTGTGCAAAAGTGCGGCGTGTTGATATAAGTGTAAATGAAAACGCATTAATATACTCAGAAAAATCTTGTCACATTAATAATAGGTATGCGCTCCTTTTGTTTAGTCGTTTCTCTGTAGCCACCTCTTGATGGTATGTGCCTCTTAGGAGGTTACACAGACTAAGCAATGGTGACAGAATAGACAGAGCTATTTTGGCACGACTACAAAACGCAATCGCAAAAGGACCTGGGGTCTTCCTCCTGGTTACGGCCCAGGGAATTCAGGTCGTGGTTCATGTTATTATCAGCAGAAAAATGCAGATGCATAGCCTGCAATCGCATCGCGATTAACTGCTGTATACGATACAAAACAATCCGCGAGTGCGATATAACAAACGAACCTCATTGTGGTTTTTTTCTCTCGAATTTTTCATTTGTAAGACCAACCACAGAAGCGAGGCACAGAGACTCAACTTCAGAAGAAGGGAAAGATAATGGTGGGTGTTTGTAGGCTACTTTGCTGCGATCGGTCCACCCACTCGCCTATTCCGCTCCACTCGGAGGAACGTGTTTGACTAACACCTGCTAAGTCATTAACCCTCACAGTTTGCTACGACTTGGGTGCTATATTTTCATGTCTATTATTATCAACCCTAAAGAATAAACACCATGTGAGTCAATGTCTACCTTCCGCGTTATTGTCAAATAGTTGGAAGGACATCAGCTTTTAAATTTCAGGAGGATGACTTGGCGAGTCCGTGTAATGCAATAACCCGTAGCAGGGCTTACATACATGGTCAAGTTAACTTTCTTAGCCGCCTTGGCGACCCCAGGACGTGTTTTCAAAAGTAAAGACTGGACATTTCGAGGACCTGGACAAGGATAATAATTAACGGGGAAACGGCGCATCCATGCATGTGTGATGTTCGTAACACTTGGGTTCAGAGATATGATCAGAGATATGTTGTTCTCCTGTTTCTCGTCGCAATGGAAATATTAAATTTGTCACGTTTACAGGCAGCCTGAAGTGGCAGCCAGCGAGTGTGTTCGCCGTTGCACTACCTCCCTCTAGCAGAATGGCAGCGTAACTGCATTCCCGTGGCAATTCAGATCTTTAGTACTTGAAAAGGGGTCGTGAACTACCTCAGTACGGGGAGGGATCTCACCGCTGTCATACGGAGAAAACTAAAAATTGTTCGGATATGTAATATTACACGTGCTTATGTTTGGAGACTTACAAATTATTACTTCCATAGACAAACCTATTAGGTACACATATACTCGTCTTCCGCGCTCTGTTTGCCTACCTGTCTGTCTCTATCTATCTATCTATCTATATATATATATATATACACACACACATATACACTCACCTAAAGGATTATTAGGAACACCATACTAATACGGTGTTTGACCACCTTTCGCCTTCAAAACTGCCTTAATTCTACGTGCCATTGATTCAACGAGGTGCTGAAAGCATTCTTTAGAAATGTTGGCCCATATTGATAGGATAGCATCTTGCAGTTGATGGAGATTTGTGGGATGCACATCCAGGGC